CTGACTACACCTCCCTAGACATAGCTGACTAAACCTCTTTAGCCATAGCTGCCTACACCTCCCTAGCCATAGCTGACTACACCTCCCTAGCCATAGCTGCCTACATCTCCCTAGACATAGCTAACTACACCTCCCTAGCCATAGCTGACTACACCTCCCTAGACATAGCTGACTACACCTCCCTAGCCATAGCTGACTAGACCTCCCTAGCCATAGCTGCTGGACCTACAAAGTCAGTTTTGCATGTTTCTTTATGTAAAATTATTAGCTTTTTTTCGAAAAACAAAATTTCAACATTTATTATTGTAAGCAACGCAGTTACCACGATAAACACAGGTAACAAGAGACGTATCAGTGCCGGAACGGGCCGGAATGAATCAAAATTGTTTGCAATAAATTTAATTGTAAAAAATGGTTTCATGATATGAGCTATTCACCATACGAGCTTAGTCACAGATACGAGCTCAGTCACGGATACAAGCTCAGTCACAGAATGGATTTAATTCGTATCTTGAGATTCCAGTGTAAATAAAAATGCAGCTTAAAAAAACAACACTATCTAAAGCTGACTAAAAGCACCTCCACACAAAAAATGCCACTAACTGTTAACTCATTCAATGCCAAGTTTCTCACCCAAGTTTGTCAATTTCAATTAGCATGATCCTTTTGTCTGCTTCTTTTGATACATGCAGTATTTATATTAACTCACTCTGCTCAGAATGTTAACTTAACCCACTCTGCTCAGAATGTTAACTTAACCCATCTGTCCTGAGAAGCTGCAAAACTGACAATTCCCTGTAAATGCCACTTTTCTGACTTGTCTATAGTGACCTGTTTACATAATCCATAGTTAATGCTATTGGCTGTGTACGTGCCTGCGCAAATATTTAGGAAAGCTGGATTTGAATATTTTAACTCAAATTAGCATGGGAGGGGGGGGGGGGGAGAAAGGGTTTTCCTTTGAGACAAAAAGCTTTTTTAAAGCACAATTCACATCAAATGTGTCTATAAGCCTCATTAATAGAGGTTAAAGGTCATGGTATGGGCCACCCACTACATACAATTATTTTGTTTTAGGCCCAAGATAATGTATTCCACTGAATGCTCCACCCTGTTTGTACTTATTAAATTACCCCTTTAAGATATCTTTATATACTTCATGGGGTGGGGTGAGATTTTTTTCTGTCTTTTAATATTATTATTTTAACCCCTTCCGCGAATCAAACATTTGTTTACTTAAAGTAATAAATACTTTGAATAGTGCAAATTAAAATATCCACTTGGTAGGGAAAGAGTTAATATCCATACCAAAACAATAAAATATGAATGGGGAAATGTTTTAAAAGCGGGGAGACAAAGCAGGGAGGATGAACATGATGAGAAACCAACTAAAAGCTAGCTCTAAAAATAAAATAAACCTGTTCTTCCCATCACAAAACAGCTACATCATTTGTGCATCATTACATCATTACACCAAAGGCTTTAAAAAGAAGAGGCATTTAAACTAATATTCTACCAAACACACAAGCGAGGAAACAATGTAAAGCAGGGAGGATAAATATAATGATAAACAAGCTAAAAGCTAGCTCAAAAAATCATATATAATAAATAAACCAGTTTTCTCTCATCACTAAACAACTACATTATTTGTCCAGACAAATTCCATCACTGAACTGACATAATGTTTGTCCAGACAAATTCCATCACTGAACTGACATAATGTTTGTCCAGACAAATTCCATCACTGAACTGACATAATGTTTGTCCAGACAAATTCCATCACTGAACTGACATAATGTTTGTCCAGACACCAGAGCTATGAAAAAGAAAAGGCATTTAAACTAACATAACATAAAACACAGTGCTTTAATTTCTTCACCTTACTAGTGTGAATTAAAATGTATGTGTTAAATTTGATCCCTAAATTGTTATATTATTCATCCAAACACTATGCTTTATGCACGTGTGCACAACAATTACTATTTTTTTTCAAGCAGGCTGAATCATCATCATCATGTAGCAGGTACCTTGCAAAACTTCGCTCTCATCACATCACGGTGTGTTAGGTGTGCTTTGTTCGTCGCACGCCGCAGGTGACTAGTTGTTGTACGGAGACTGAGCTGTGTGGGATAAAACCTAGTGTAAGAAGTTGTTCCTCTCAATTTTAACTTTAAGTCAGTGAGTGCTGATAAATCTAAAACATATGGAGTCAACGAGGTATAATGACAAGAACAGGAATCTCAAGTTTGATTGTACTTATCCCGCATGTGGGTTTTGGGGCCCCACTCTAAAAAATCTCTAACAAGCATTTTGTAGAAGATGATTAATTAGGTTTCCTTCTGAAGCTGAAGCACATCCATATGAAAAATGAGGATCCAACAGTCTGCAGACAAGTAAGCCGTATCTGTAGAACAGATATGCACACACAATTTAAATCCATAGAACAAGACTAAGTCCAGAAGTGGAAAAAGAGCCAGAAATTTCTGCAGGTAAACGCTAAGAACAAGAAGATGTTACTCACATGTTTAAACAACTTATAATCATGTCTTCATGTTGTTAAACCTGATATGACAAAAAAATTGATTACTGCTGTAAACTGTAGTGTTACCAATGGCTTGAAATTGAAGGATTCCACTTCCTGAACACTACTATCATACAATACCTTTAATGAATACTTCCAAATCATCATCGGCAAGCTTTTGATTGTTAGACTGTATTAGCACTGAGGCTTTTTTGTGACATGGTATTCTTTCTTTGGCTTTTAGAATGATTGCCTTGCGGTCCACAATGTTGATGGTCCAAGGACTTCCTGGTAAATTTAAAGATGAGGAAATGATTTGAATTATTAGGAAGAAAATGAGAACTTTTGATATAATTCAGTCCCCCCCCTCTCTCTATATTTATTTCTGTCTCAGTAGTTCTGTCTCTCTCTCCCTCTCTCTGTCCAGTGTCCCCACTCCCTTAATAAGCATTTCATAAGAGGCAACTAATTAGGGTTCTGTTGAAATCAGTTGTTGGGCTGAAAGGTACAGATATCACAGACTAGCTGTAAACTTGCACTCTCTCTCTCTCTCTCTAACCCTTTTTAAAATATATGCTGAAAATATGAGATATGCAATTAGTGAAAAGGCCTGTGAGAGCTTTGACCCACTCAAAATTGGAGGCAGACCTATCCCAGAACTCAAATACACAGACAACACAGTTCTGCTTTCCAAAAGTGTATAAGGCTTAGAAAAACTAATTTGGACTGTGAAAGAGCACAGTGAAGAGGAAAATCTATTCCCGAATCAAGAAACAAACAACTAAAACGATCTCTACAATACAGCACACCAAACACAAAATAAAACAGACAACAAAGAGATTGAAAATGTCACAGATTTTGAATATTTAGGCTCAGTAATGAACAACAATGGCGAATGCGCAAAAGAAGTCAGAAAAAAGACTTGCAGAGGCTGAACAGCATAAAAAACCTACAAAATAGCACCTGCAAGCAAGTTAAACATTGTGAGATCATGCATCTTTCCTGTAGCAACCTATTGATGTGAGTAACGGACTCTCACACAGTCTTTACAGAAGACAATCACAACTGTTGAACTGAAATGCTACAGACAAATTCTTAGAATAATGTGAACCAAGAAGAAGAAGAATATCAACATGACCTGGACATCAAGGAGAACTGGCTTATAAACAGCATCCTTTTATGAAAGCTGAGGTATTTTGGATATAACAAGCGCCATGGTTGTCTAGAGAGAACAATGATGGATGGTGCAGATTCCAGAAAATGAGGCAGAGGTCCGCAGTCACAAAGGTGGATTTAGGAAACTTAAGACGCACTGGCTGTAAAAGAATACAGGCTAGAGAGAGACTTTATGTTGTGCTGTTAAGTGATTGACGTTTTGTAAAGGACATACTGACTGAATGATTGAGCTGATGTTTGAGGTTTGATCAACGGATCAACATCATGGTACATGGGTGTAACCCATAATTGCTCCGCTCTTCTTCTAACTCAAGTCTGAGTTAGATTACAAGAAGTCCAAGTCCACGTGAAAAAATCCTAGCCATTATTGCGTTAAGAGAGTGACATTCTGTAAAGGACATACTGACTGACTGAGCTATAAGCCACAAGATAACATATATTTCCAATAAACATAAATATCCAATAACACAGCAGAAAAGAGCAACTTGATATATCCCATTAACACCACTACTGTGTGAACTGCCTTTTTCTGGGCAGACACAGAAAAAGAAGAATGGTAGACATACACTCCATGTCCCAATTTCTTCTTCTTTGCTTTCAGTTTCAAATACTCAGGTCAAATCGTCTTGTGGGCTGCCTCTGTGAATTTACTCATCAGCTGCAGGTCCTTCATGGTTCCCCATTGCTTGTCAGCTGCAGGTCCTTCATGGTTCCCCATTGCTTGTCAGCTGCAGGTCCTTCATGGTTCCCCATTGCTTGTCAGCTGCAGGTCCTTCATGTTTCCCCATTGCTTGTCAGCTGCAGGTCCTTTATGGTTCCCCATTGCTTGTCAGCAGCAGGTCCTTCACGATTCACCACTGCTTGTCAGCTGCAGGTCCTTCATGTTTCCACATTGCTTGTCAGCTGCAGGTCCTTCATGGTTCCCAATTGCTTGTCAGCTGCAGGTCCTTCATGTTTCCCCATTGCTTGTCAGCTGCAGGTCCTTCATGGTTCCCCATTGCTTGTCAGCTGCAGGTCCTTCATGTTTCCCCATTGCTTGTCAGCTGCAGGTCCTTCATGGTTCCCCATTGCTTGTCAGCTGCAGGTCCTTCATGGATCCCCATTGCTTGTCAGCTGCAGGTCCTTCATGGATCCCCATTGCTTGTCAGCTGCAGGTCCTTCATGGATCCCCATTGCTTGTTCTGCCCACTTTGCTCTTGAGGTCAGGTTTCTCTTTGTAACTGTAAGTGTAGAGAGAAGACCTGCAGAATGTGCTCAGGTGATGTCAAAAGTTCATCTTTTGTATACAGCCAAATAAACTTACCAACAGCTGGGGTGTCATTAAATGAAATCTCCACAACATGTGGTCGAGCATTCTCCGGAATAAAAGATGCTGCAAACCGATGGTTTCCTTTGTTCTGCACATTGCATGGAACATGGCCTCCATTGACACGTATCTCAATGTTCCCTGAACCAGCTTGTGATGCGTCAACTGTGAAAATACATATCAAACCAGATTGTTCATGCAGTCAATGTATATTTCCTGTTGAAGATTTCACTTTGGTTTTTTTTCTTAGCAGTGGTTCTTAACCTGTAGCCACCAGAACCCTATCGAGGGGAGATGACTCATCTAAGGGAGGGAACTAGTGTAAATGGAGATCAAAACAAAAACTAACAAGCTAAATCCAAGAATAATAAGAGAGACGGGGGAATCAGATTTAGGAAAACTTAAGTAAAACTTACTCCAAATGTATATACACCAAGTATCATCATCAAGTGCCTTGCCAGCTGGTGTAGGTGTTCAAGCATCTCCACAGACCATGGTCTTTGGTTCTCTGGATCGATTCCACTGATGATATTCCTCCCTGCCACTGTCGTAAGCTGTTCACCATCATTTCTCTTGGTCTGCCTCTGTCCAAGCATAGACCACCACTCTTTGTTATTTTAAAGCCTTACCATGACTGTTGTCAGGGACACTAGTATAACCTAACAGCTCAACGGGATTTCACAGGAATTGTGCAGGGGGGAATTCTAATCCCAAAAGATCTGAACATTAGGGAGGATTGGCTGATTGGCACGATAAAATATCTTATCTCAGAAAGTAAAATATTTTGGCCACATCAAATGCTGCATGGTGGACTGAAAAGAAAAATATTGGAGGGCATGAAAGTGGGCTAGAGGAATAGGAGCTGTCCGGTACGAAGGTGAGCAAAGACACAGAGACACCTTAGGCAGAAAGGTGCATGAGATGTGAAGGCTGGCAATAAACTGAGTTGTTTTTTCCCCCAGACAGGCTGTGATGAGGGAGACGCTCTGAAAAAAAAATCAGCTACATAATTATATATATATAAATCATTATCAAGTGCTTTGCCAACTGGTGTATCAGTTCGCGTGTTGACACCCCTCGATGCCATGCCACAAGGCTGTCAAGAATCTTCTTGCACTGTCTTCCTCTGTCTCTCTTTCCGCAGATCTTTCCAGTGGTGACAACATGTTCCATTTGCCTTATTCACATAACATGACTAAAAAATGATGGCTGTCTGTTTCTGATGTTGATACATATACATTTATATACACACATGTATACATACATACACACTCACTCACACACACACACACACACACACACACACACACACACATATATATATATATATATATATATATATATATATATATATATATATATAGAGAGAGAGAGAGAGAGAGAGAGAGAGAGAGAGTGAGAGAGAGAGAGTGAGAGTGAGAGAGAGTGAGAGAGAGAGAGTGAGAGAGTGAGAGAGTGAGAGAAAGAGAGTGAGAGAGAGAGAGAGAATGAGAGAGAGAGAGAGAGAGAGAGTGAGAGAGAATACTTAGGTTAAGGAAGATGATAAACATGAAGATGGCAATAAAGATAATGGTGAAGTAGAAGGTGATGTTGATAATGATGACAAAGAGGCACAAACGAATGAATGAATAAACGAATAAACTTTATTTTCAAAGGCTTAGGAAATGGGCAAGCAGGCCATGTAACATTCTGCATTCCTAGTCTTCCTCCTTTCAGACATCATTTAGAGGATTACACAGGATTGCCCAGGATTACACAGGATTGCCCAGGATTACACAGGATTGCCCAGGATTACACAGGATTGCCCAGGATTACTAAGTAGAAGGTCCAGAGAAGAGGCAAAAGAGAAGAAGAAAAAAACAGAAGAGGAAGACAAAGATAGTGGCAATAAAGGTCACAAAAAAGGGAAAAACAATTTGGTAACTTACTGTTGAAACACACTGGTTTATCCCTGGACGCTATGGTCGGCATCTCGCTCACAATCAGTTTTCTCATGTCAAAAGCTTTGGCCACAAATGGCGAGCCAGCCACTTCCTGTTCTGCAAACTTCACTTCAATAGTGTACTCACCTGAAAGTCAATATGTGTATATATATATTGTTTTAATCAATTCAGCAAAAATTCATTGAATACTGATATTTGCATACTGATATTTGCATACTGATATCTGCATACTGATATTTCTGCTTCTTCACGCTTACTGGCTACAACTTCCTGTAAAAAATTATGGTTTTTCGTCCCCTTCTGTACTTTGGTCTTGTTCCAGAACTTAAGTTTTGCATGCACATCTGTTTTACAGATCCAGATTATCTGTATGCAGACTATTGGTTCCTTGTCTCTCAGATAGATGCACTTCAGCTTTGAGATATCCAGTTCAATTCCAGCTGCAGATGATCTGGCATCAGACTACTTTGATTTTGACACAACAGTATCAGGAGCCAACCACTGAGTAGGCAATGGCCAACTACCAAATGTAAAAAAAACTGCCTAACAAAGAGGATCTTCTGGCTTCTCTTTCTGGAAAAAAATGTTCTTTATTTGTCTCAGACTATTCTTAGTGCCGACATTTCTCTTCGAACGGGTTAGGCTTAGGGTTAGGGTTAGGCTACAGCTCATCCGGTAGATAGCTAAAATAAAAAGCCTACCAACTATGAGAGAATGTGGCAAACGCATAACAGAAGCATGACGATAACAGATGAATGATGGTAGCAGAGGAATGGTGGTAACAGAGGACTGTCGGTAACAAAGGAATGGCAGTAACAGAGAAAAAGCATTAACAGGTTAAAATAGGCACTGGAAAACACACTGACAACTGGGAAGAATTAGCAGTTAAAGAGTTAAACACTGACTGAGACAAGTGATGTTGGGTGGTCTAAGATGATGGCATGGAGGAACTGTTGGAACCTTTCAGTCTTTTCATACAACAGTGTTATATTGTGCTACAGAAAGCTGAGATGGCAAGAGTCACTAGCACGACCCACTCACAATAACAAACAGTTATCCACTAGAAGAGTAAGGGATTTCTGAACCACTGTTGCTATTGTATAAATTTAACGTGAGCTCAGCTTTTCACCTTTCTGCAATCATTTTATCCTTTATCTCTGTTGCCATCCTGATTTTCCTCTTTCATGAAAAATAATCCATTTTATTCTGTTCCCATAATTCTACTGCAATAGCAATAAACATGGAAAAATTCATGACCAACCGCTGACACTAATATGATTGCATAACCTGGGAGTAAAGCATGATAAAGACAGCGTTTGTCATCTCAGAGGCTAAGACAGGAGGCTCTATAAACAACTTTTTGTGGGAACAATAAGCAAAGTAACCTTGGAATGGCTGCTGCATTGAAAGACTGAGCATGCTTGGGAATGCCCAATGTGCAGTTACATCGATGATGATAACGTAACATTACATGGGAGAATGTAATCTACAGAACTAACCCAGAACATCAAGGATTGAACTTTTGGAAAAGTTCATGATGATGATGAAAGGAATGATGAGTAAAATACTTCAATAATGATAACTCAGCCACTCTGTAATACCTTTCTGGCCTGGGGGAATGCTGTTTCTAGACTTAGTGTGAGCCAGTGAACTGGTCGAAGCCACAGATGAAGCTTTGGAGTTCCACATATGTCCTGCAGGAACTCCTGACACATTTTCACCAACGGTCAAGGAAGACACGTGTCTGTGTCCAACATCCTGTGAATGTCGTCCTGAAGTATCTTGCCGATAAGACAGTTCTGACCTCTCCGATTCCACACCGACTCCTTTAGTTGGGTGTCTTGACAAGGTGTGATCACTTCCTTGTATCTTTTGGTAACTGGACTCGTGGGTCACAGGGATTCTTTCATACACAATACGGTCTCCCCCTGTTGTTGAAGAGTTAACCAAAGAACTACTGCTTCTACTTGACGACAACATTTCTGTTGACTGCAGGGTTGTGGTGGAAGCTGTCTTATTGTTGCTCTTGTTGATCATGGTGCTGCTTCGCTGAGGAGAGAACACATTTCTCTTCTGGGATTCTGTTGAAGACAAAGTCCAGTTATTTGCAGGGGTGTTGCTTGAGCTTAGGATGGTGGTTCCACTGTTGTTGCTGTCTCCAGCTTTTCCTTTACCCTGTTTTGATGATGATGATGACTTACTGTTGAAGACATAATTCTCTTCAGAGATTTGGCTTCCTGATAAAGATTCTGGCTGATTTGGGTACCGTTTGACTTGACCACCAAATCCCCCACTAATGATGCTGTTCAGATCATCATCAATTTCTCTTATCAAAGGTGTATGAGTTTTCTTTTGCCGACTTTCATAATTGCTTCCATCAGAGGCGTGCAGTGGCATCGCATTGGGGCCAGGAAAGTTGAAAGCAAACTTGTCTTCCTCTTCTCCACCAGAAGCAGCGTCTCCGCCACGAATGGCATGCAACAAATTACCACCTCCTTGGATTGCTTTAGATATTGAGTCACCTCCAGAATAGGTCAGACTTTCCCCAAACTCCCTCCTGGATGAGAAGCTGGAAAAATGCTTCTCTTCTTGAAAGGCATAACTTTCATGTGCAGCAGCTGACCTCATTGTCAGCTCTTCCAAGAAATTATTAATGAATAAGTCAGTATCTCCTTGCCAACCAACAAAAGGAAACAACCAATCACAACCCTTGATTTCTGTATATGATGAACTATTTCAAAATCTGGAGCATCAACAAAGAAATACAAAACTAGTTGAAGTATAACCGGATACTTTTGACAATGACCAAACAAAAATATTACAGAAAATCCTGTTAACACAGTATGAGATCTAACTTAGAGGCACTGTTTGAAACACACAAAAAGATTGAAGTGTTTATCAACTGTTACAGCCAACTTTATTTTGTTTATATAAATGATAATTCTCTATTGAACTTGTCAAAAGTGGTAAGTTTTATAAATGTTTGTTTCAGGTTAATCTGGACAACTAGGAAATCTTTGCTTTCTATAGGCCATTGATTATGTATAATGGTAGATATAAAGATATTCTAAACAAGAATCTACAATTCCAACAAAGTGATGCACCAGATAAATTAGTTATTTAACACAGTTTTCGAGAAAACTACAATATAACTGAACATTTAGTATTAATCAATGCTGTAATCCAGATCACATATAAATTATCCAATGGAAATAAACAGCATCCAGTGTTCAAGATGAAACAGACAAAACAGAAGAATCCACGTCACACAGATATATATAGTAGTCCCAAGATGTAATCCACTCCTAAAACATGAAAACTTTGCTGTTTCACTGACAATTCACAAACTGTGCTGTGAGTCAGCGTGCCTCATTCCTAAAATAAAGGGATAGACCTGGCTGAGAGAGGCAACCAGGAGTTGGTATTCAAAGTGGGAGTGATGAGTCCCTAGTCAAAGTCAACATTCAGACATTTTTTTAAAAGATACTTCAGCACAGTTCACTCACTCTGCCCTGGGTCGCAGTTTTTCATTCTCTTTTTTAAATATTTACTTAGGGTAAAACTGCGCCCTGAGCAATGAAAGGACTTCAAAAACCTTGGGACACATTATGTCAGTAATTTCCTGGCTTGCTCTGGATCAGTAAAGCTAGGGGCAAATATTTTGCAAAACACGAACCAAAGAATGCATCTGTTTTCCATTTCTTCCAGAAACTGACAGAAGCCATGTGTAGGAAGAGAGTAAATATGAAAAAGTATTAATCAAAGTATAAATTATAAAGTTGTAGTCAAAACTGGCTACAAGTCAGTAATGCAGTCTATAATTTACATATCTGTTCATAAAAACGGTATTAAAAATAGGCATGACTGCAGTGATGATACCAAAGAAACAACGATGCAGAATATAACTGTGAATATAAATGAAAGGAAAGAAACACACACACACAGATACATCATAAAAGGGCCAAAAGCCAGTGTGTTAGAGGACAGCGAATATGACAAAGTGTCCATCAAAGTATAAACTGCACTAGTTGTGTATGAAAGTAAACAGAAGGACATGGTGTAATCTATCATTTATCTATCTTTTCCTGAACTCGTTTAGTTCACCCTGAGTAGTTGAGAGTAGCCAATGTTTGAGTTTCAAATAGTCAAACAAGAACTCCATAGGGGAGCATTCACAGCAGGTGTCCACCAATCATCAGTAAAAAGATCCCTCGTCAACTACAGTTTCGACCCAAGAAGAGACAGTCAACAATGAAGAACTAAGAACAGTGGTAGGCACAGTACCCGGTCACTAATTTAACATACTATCAAAGAATCAAATGGTTTGGCCATGTGGTCAGAATGGAACAAAATCAGACAGCAGCTACAGCATACTACATGAGAAGAGCAAGCTAAAAGTCAAGAGGCCGACCAAGAAAGACATGGATGGATGTAGTAAAAGTGACACTACAGAAACACAATATAACATTAACACAAGCTACACAACCAGTAAAAGACAGGAAACTACATCTGACTCTACAATGCTTGACGGCATAAGAGGTGGTAAAGAAGAAGAGGAGAAGGAGGAGGATGAGGAAGAAAAGAACAACAGCAACAACAACAACTATATATTATACTGACATGCCTCTCAATCCTGTAACAGTTATTATGGATTCCATTTACAAAGCGACGCGTCAACGTGGGGATGGAAACAACGGAATAATTACCTTTCAGGAGAGAAATCTGTGGACAAGCCACACGGTACAACACATAACACATTTATGGACACAAACACGTACCGTTAACACCAGCCACATACAAACAAGTCTATGCCGACCCAGAAACACGGAGACGATCCCGCCGTGCTGGTTCCTGTGACAGATCTGGCCCAGCGTCATATTAATCACGGCTTGAAACAGTAGGTGTTGTTTTTTGTTAACCGCTGTTTGTGTTTTCTAGAAGCAGTTGTGTACCATGTTAATAGTACATCGCATTGCTAGGAAAGCTTATTCTTTTTCTATGCGTTCATCGACTCCAGCGACAAGTTCTGGTTGCCTGCCCATTTCAAGACTTGAGCCGTATTCCAGAAATTGAGTTTTGCGTACATATCCGTTTTACAGATCTTGCTTATGTGTAAAGTACAATCC